GGGGATCGGGCCCACAACCTGGGCATGTGCCCTGACCGGGAATCGAACCAACGACCTCTTGGTGCAGGGCCCACGCTCAACCACTGAGCCACAGCAGCTGGGCGGGAAGATATTTTTAGATGTGTTTGCTTCCCGCCCCCCCCCCCCCTTAAACAGTCGAGCATTTGTGCCTCCGTGAGAGGACCTAACAGCCAAAACCAGGGCGGGGAATGGAAGCCACTCTGGCTTGTGAATTCCAATGACCTAGGCCCTTAACAAACAGAAAGGCCTCACAGCTTGAACAAAAGCTGGGGGAAGAGACCTGCGTGGGGCCAGGCCTCCCAGTGGCATCACCACCAGCACCACACGAGACCAAGGGGAAGCCTAAGAGCACCACCCCGATGGAGCCGGCCTCAGGGACCCGCACTGATGTTTTTCTCCCTCTCTCCCTCCCTCTCTCCCTCCCACTCTATCTGAAGATGAATGCAAAAATGTCCTCGGGTGAGGATTTGAAAAAAAGAAAGAAAGAAAGAATTAAGGGAGGGCAGCTAGCGCATTTCTGGCGAGGAAACAGGGGAGACGCTGGTGCCGTCCACAGACGTGGGGAACAAGGGAGGGAAGCAGACAAGTGGAAAATGGTGAGTTTGAGGTTTGGGCGCATCGCGGTTGAGATACTGACGGGATGTCCAAGGGGATGTCGGGAGGCCGCTAGAGACTCACCACAGGTGGAACCACAGAGTGTGGCATCCTCAGCCCACACAAGTCGTACTGATGCATGAGGAACAGACCAGAGGGATGGTGCGTCCTCAGTATATGCTGGGTATTGCTGTCAGCGTTTCCATGAATATGGACTCACTTATTCCTCAGAGCAGCCGTCCAAGGCAGGTACTACTGCTAGCCCCCCCTTTCTTTTAACATATGAAGAAACAGATCTGAATGTTTCAGGCCTCACGGACAGAAGCCAGGGGATCAGGAGCTATCTCGGGAGATTTACAGATGGTGATAACCAGGGATAGTACTGAACCCTGCGTATACTGTGCTTTTCCCTACCTATTCCTAATAAAGTTTAGTGTATCAATTATGCACGGTGATCAACGACGACTAGTAACAAAATAGAACAATTACAGCAATAGACTGTAGCATGAATTAAGAAAAGCAAGAGCGCCCTGGCCGGTTTGGCTCAGCGGTTAAAGCATCGGCCTGCGGTCCGGAGAGACCCGGGTTCGGTTCCCGCTAAGGGCATGTACCTCGGTTGCAGTTTGTCCCCGGCCCTGGTTGGTCGTGCGGGTGGCAGCCACTCGATGTGTCCCTTTCACGTCGATGTTTCTCTCTCTCTCTCTCCCTCCCACTCTATCTGAACAAAAAATGAAAAAGTGTCCTCGGATGAGGATAAAAAAAAAAAAAAAAAAAGAAAAGCAAGAGGTACCTGAACCCAAGCAATGCCGTATCCCAATAGCGCCACCAGTCTGATAACTGAGCCAGCTCCCAGGGGACTGGCAGGCGGGCAGCATATACGCTGTGGTTACGTTAAATGAAACAATGATTCACACTCTGGGCCAGATGCAGTGGGAGGGTGTGAGATTTCGCCATGCCACTCAGAACAGTGGGCGATTTGAAACGTACGAATTGTTTATTTTCGGAATTTTTCCATTCCATATATCTGCACCACGGTTGACTACGGGCCACGGAAGCCGCAGAAAGCAAAATTGTGGATAAGGGGGCCCACTGTGGAATAACCGCCGTGCTACAACCTGCACGAGAGATAAAGGAACACGGAAGGAAAAGAATGAGAAGGCACCATCAAGAGGAAACCAAGCCCAGCTGCTGTGGCTCAGTGGTTGAGCATCGACCCTGCACCAGGAGGTCACCGGTTCGATTCCCGGTCAGGGCACATGCCCAGGTTGTGGGCCTGATCCCCAGTGGGGGGCGTGCAGGAGGCGGCCAATCCATGTTTTCTCTCATCGACGTTTCTCTCTCTCTCTCCCTGTCCCTTCCTCTCTCTAAAAAGCAAAAAAGAAAAAATTCCTTTTTTAAAAATCCAAGTTCTGGCTCACCTTTTTCTCGAAAGACCAGAGAGAACGCTTTCCAGGCCTCAGTGTCTCGGTTTGGTTACCCACTCAAGGGGTCACCACCAGTCCCTGGTCTCATGTCGGCAAAATGAGCCGAGCATCTTTTGGGGGAGGGATGAGGGTGGAGAGCAGGTCCTCTCCAGCCTTCCCCAAAAACTGAAAGTTGACATATATGCCCCGGAGCTCAAGTCCTGGGCCTTCTCCCCATGACCCCTGCTGTTCCCAGTACCCTCCTGCTGCCCCTGGGGTCACATTCCGCTCCCCGTCTTCTGCGCGCTCCCCCCCAACCGGGCTGCTCGCCTCCACGTGGCGCTCGGCGTCACCGGTCGCCAGGGAGACCCAGCAGGGCGGAGCTCCCGTGACGCCACAATGGGAACAAGCCAATCGCCGTGACGCGGGCCGGGGACGCGAAGGCGAGGTGTGGCTTCGCCCCGCCGGGCGCAATGAGGCGGCTGCCCGCTGGGTGGCGCCGGTTCCCGGGGAGGTCCTTTCTGGGCCCCGGCGGAGGTGGGGAGCCGCGGCGGAGCGCAGGCCAGGGCGCCCTCTGCGTCAGCGGGGCTCACCGCGCCGCGCTAAGACCGGCCGGGACGCGCCCGCAGCTCCATGCGGGTGCCCGGCGCCCGTCCAGCCCCGCAGGAAACGCAGGTACGTGCCACCTGTGGGGGGCTGGCGAGCAGGGACGGGGAGCTCAGTGCCTCGGAGGCTCCGAAAGTGAGGCGCCAGCGACCGGCCGCCTGGGCAGGTGGGCGCGGGGGTGCGGGCGAGTGGCAGCGCGCGGGGGAGCTCCGGCTGCGACGCCCGCGGTGGGGGGCCGCGGCGGACGGCCGGGGTGCCAGCCAGAGCCGCCCGTGTGCTGTCCTACCGAGATGCTTTGGGCAGGCCCGGGTCTCCGCGCCCGGCGTGCTGTGTCCTGCGAGTCCGCCCAGACTCCGCCAGCCCTTCCTCGCGTGTGTGCAGCTCACTCCTCCTAAGCTCCGGGGGGGCGGGGTGCTGCCTCTGGTCAGTCGGCCAGAGCGAGTGGGGGTGGCGGGAGGGCAGCAGGTAGTGGAAGGGGAGATGTCCCACCAAGCCCAACCCGAAGGAGGCATCGTTGACGTTCTCGCCAATCCCAAACCAGGAGCAGGTGCAGCGGTGGGGGGCGGGACTCCAAGGCAAGTAACTTCGCCCAGGGACGCGCTGGCCCGACCCATTCTGGCCGCTCTCTGAGGACCGACGGGCCGTCTACTTCCCGACCTGGTTGCTTCTACAATGGGGCTGAGTTGGGACCTGTTGGCGACGCTCCCCTCCCCAGGCAGGGGCACGAGAAGGGCCCCCGCGCGGGAGCCTGTGCAGTGGAGGAAGGGAGAGCTGGTTGAGCTAGGGTGGGGGCACCCCTACTCCTCGGCCGCTGTAGGTGCTGGCCACACGAGATGGTCACACGGATGGAATGAGGGCCGGGGCAAGGGCGTCCTCCCGAGTGCATCATCAGGACCCGAGCTGAGTCAGCAGCCTCTGCTGAGACAGGGTGGAGGCACAGTCCTGGGGACTCCCAGTCCACCGTGGAGAGACTGAGCCAACAGGAGCACGGAGGCCTGAGAGGCCGAGGAGCCTGCCCCCTCCTGTGACCCTTCCCAGCCCAGTGTGCGGCCTTGGAATTCTGAGCACTCCTACAGGTAGAGTGGGGCCACCCAGAGCAGCCTCACTTCCTCCGGCCGGCCTGGGGCAAGCTGCACCGGCCATACTTTTCTAGGCGAAGGAGGAAGGAGCCCAAATGGCCTGGCCCTTCTCCGCTGGGTGGGCTGGACCGCTGGGAACATAGCAAACTTCCTTTGTTCTTTTCAGTTATGGGACATAGACCAGCTCCGAAAAGCATAGGGCTATTCTCTGGCGCTAGAACGGGGCACTCTGAGGGGTGCACAGAGGTTCTTTTCTCCCTCAGAAAGTTCATCTGGGAGGCGCTACTAAAAATACTACGGCTAATTATGATAACAAGTGGAAGTATTCAGTATAATAATAATCATGTGTTGAACTCTTACCGTGTACCGGGAAATGGAGAAATGTTTTTTGGGTTTTGTTTGTTTGTTTAATTTTTATTTTTAATCCTCACTTCAGGATATGGTTCTATTTATCTTAAGATAAAGTGGGAGAGACGGAGAGAGAGAGAGAGAGAGAGGAACATCGATGTGAGAGGGACACATCGACTGGTTGCCTCCCACACGACCCCGACCAGGGCTCGGATGAACCGCAACCGAGGTACGTGCCCTTGACCGGAATCGAACCCGCGACTCATTAGTCCGCAGGCCGATGAGCCAAACCGGCCAGGGCTGGACAAGTGTTTATTTAACCCTGACAACGGTGAGGTATAGCATTGTTATGACTACGACGCCTGTGTGACTGATTCAGTGGCTGAGTTTTCGACAGCGTGAGCGACTTGGCCAGTGTTTCAGAGCCAAGGACAGGGACAGAACTGGAACGCGAGCCGGGGCTTCGAAGCCCCCTGTGAAACCGGGGACGGAGAACCTGCCGCCGGTCTCTTCTGCCTCTGACTCTGTGCCCTTGAGCACGCTGCTGGCCTCCCAAGCTCTTCTCCGTCTCAAAGGGGAAGGAGCTGGACTGGCACCGTGGCTTCTCCCTCTTCTCTGACCCTGTGACTGGCACCTGCTTCTCCGTAGTTTGGCCTCCGTTCCGTCCCCCGCCGTCCTACCCTCTCCCCGGTTGTTTCGCCTGGAATCCCTCTTCTGTTCCGCTTTCAAACGTCCCCTGTCCGAGGAGTCCTCCTGGGTCTCCTCGCCTGGCACCGGCCCACCCGGACAGCACCTTGAGGAAGGGCCTGTCACTGCCCCTTTAATTCTCCCTGGGCTTGGAATGCAAGTGAGTTGAGCTAGCTAGCCATCTCTGTGAGGTCAGATAAGATGCTATATATATCAGAGTCAGTAACCTGAGCACCGGATTACCCAGCCCCGAGTCCTACTCCAGCTTCTGGGCTCTCCACGACGCTCGCGGCCCAGCGGGGGAGGAGAAGCCCCCAGATCCTGTCCGTTGCCCCCCAATTCAGGTTAGTAGCTGCGCCTTTCCTGTCGGAGCTTCACAGGGATGGTGAACAGAGGGCCCTGGACTGTTTGGGGGAGCCTTTGAGAGAGGTCTGGTCGGTGCTGTGGACAAGGCCAAAGGCTGGAGGTCAAGGACAGAGGGAGGATGAAGTCCTGGAGGAGAGAGAGAGGGCTACTGTCCCCGGGGAGGAGGCACCCGGAGAATGCCTGACCGAAGGTGGCTGGAACAGGAATTTAAGGATTTCAGCACTGCCTGGGGGCCCACTGCCTTTTCTTGGAAGTGCAGAGATGCTGACCCAAATCAGCGAATTACCCAATGGAGACACTGCCCTGGGCCTACCCACTTCTTCTCGGCCTGCCAGGATTCTTGCTCTAATCGTCCATCTCTCTATTTGACCTCTTCTCCTGCCCCTCCCCCAGCCCTTGGCAACTGCTGGGAATCACAGAGACAGAGATGGGCCCCAACCCCCTTAGGCGACCCCCTGTCGAGGCTACAGTGTAAGCCGGTGAGGCACTAAGCTGGTGGGTCACTGGCTGCCACCCCTCAGAGAGAGCTGCTCACGACAGGCCTGGAAGGAGAGGACAGGATGGCCCTGGGGCCCGAGAGGAGGAGACGGATCTCCTAGGTGATGTGAGCACAAATGTCCCCAGCCCAGTCCTCCGCTCCACCTGCATCCCCCACACCTGCCAGGACACTCTTAGACTCACAAGCTGATGCGTGTGCCCAGACAGTGCCTGAGCAGCCAAGAGGGAGGGTCAGAGTGTCGGCGAAGGGAGACAGGGCCCCGGCTCAGCCCACGTTGCCCTCAGCGGTGCCACATTCCTTCGCCAGTGTCTGTGGGAAGCTCTGACGTCACCGCGGCGAAGGTTCCCAAGCACCTGGCAGGACCGGCTGGTTCTCCTCGCTCACCTGTCCTGGACACCTGGGCCGGAGGGACGACCCTGAACCGTGTTGAGACACGCCTCTGAAACCCAGCTGTGGGCTTTCTGTCCAGGCAATGACAAGCATCAGGGGCCAGCATGCTTTCGCCCCAGAAGGCAGGGCAGATCTGGGTAGAGAGGGGCCAGGGAGGCGGCTGGGCCGCGGGACGTTACCCACCCCCTACCTGGATGCCAGGAGTACCTGGGATTCCTTGGGAACAAGTCCTCCCTGGCTGGGCAGGTTCTGGAGCCTTTCCCATGAGCCACAGGAAATGACAGTGGCTGATTGCAAGGGGGTTGGGTGCCCCTGGGGGATAGGTTTCCTTTTAACCCCTGACTCACCCGGCCTGGGTACCTTGGGGAACTAGCCACGCTGCAGCAAGGGCAGGAGGCTGGGGCCCATGTCCATAACCAGTTCTTGGGCCAAGGGCCAGGGCCAGGGCTAGACCCTGGTGCGGGGGGACATCTAGGACTTGGCACTGCCGGTGAAACAGAGCCCTCCTGGACCTTCTCGCCCCGATCAATATTGTACGGGGCTCAGGTTGCACCTGACTTCATTTTCATCCCCCCGCAGCGGAAACTCCGAAGGGGCAGGGCCGCTCCCGCAGGGTCTGTGCCCACCATGCTGCTGCCTGGACAGTGGTGTCTGGACACCCCTGCCCGGTGCCAGCCCAGGGGGAGCTCAGAGTGGTGTGAGGTGGGGGGGCCAACTTCGAGGGGCTGTTAGAGGACAGAATCCAGGTCCCTACCCAGCTCTGCTGCTTTCCCACTGTGGCCTCATGAAAGCCACACCACCCCACAAGCGCCAGTTTCCTGTCTGCAGATGTCGTAGGAACAGCCCTCCCGCCCTGGCCGGTGTGGCTCAGCGGTTAGAGCGTCGGCCCGCGGACCAGAGAGGCCCGGGTTCGGTTCCCACTAAGGGCACGTACCTGGATTGCAGTTTGTCCCTGGCCCCAGTTGGGCCCTGAGTGAGGCAGCCACTCGATGTGTCCCTTTCACATCGATGTTTCTCTCGCTCTCTCTCTTCCTCTCTCCTTCCCACTCTATCTGAAGATCAATGCAAAAATGTCCTCGGGTGAGGATAAAAAATTTTTTAAAATAGCACCTGCTGCTTAGCGCTGTTGTGAGGTGTTCCAGGAGTCTCCGTGAGGTGTTAAGCTTTAATAACTTCAGCCATATGGATGCTAAAAGCTTCCTTGGAATGCTTCATTATTTAAATTTCCTATTTATTTTTAAAATGTTGAATGAAAGTGTTTTCAATTTCAACTGAATGCAAAACATTAAACCTTCAAAGGATGTCTGTAAGGTGGAGGCATTTATTCTTTTTTTTATTATTATTATTGATTTTTTTTTAGAAAGAGGAAGGGAGAGAGAGAGAGAGACATTGATGTGCAAGCAGAACATGGATCAGCTGCCCCCACCTAGGGTGGAGCAGCCCAGGCGTGTACCCTGACCGGGGTGTCACCGGCAACCTTACGGTGCAAGGGACGACACCCAGCCAACTGAGACACACCAGCCAGGGAGAGGCGTTTATTCTTCCAAAAGGATTAGAGCTTAAAGCCGCACTAAGATTTGGGGGACACTGCGTGAAGCATATCAGAGCGCCAGGCATGCGTTGAGGGTCCCGAGTGTGGGCTTTGAGGAAGGCCTCAGCACGGGGCCTGGTCCACACGGGTCGGCGGGTGATGGTGTGTGGGTCGCCCCTTCTTCCAGGAAACTGAATGCTCTGTGCAGGGGAGCGTGGCTGCCCCTCCGCAGAGGAGGACGCAGCCACGTAAGGGGGACCCCAGCCGAGCAGGGCAGAGTGGAGGCACCTCTGTGGAAGTGCACAGAGCAGGGGCTTGGCAGGGGCCGCCCTGCTGTCCCAGGGCTGGCACCAGGGAGGCGCCTCCTGGAGACACATGCCTGTACTTGCCAGCTCAGCCAACAGTGAGAGAGGCCAGGCAGCAGGCCCACGCTGGGCAAGGAGGGGTGTCCCAGCCAATCGGCCTGCCTCCCACTGCCCCATGAAAGGGCCATTCAGCTCGGGCTGTCCCTGTGGCAACGAGGAGACTCACAGCCATGTGAGTGCCGTCCTGTCCCTGTCTTGTGCAACAGGGACCTGCCAGGGCCTCGGCCTGGTTCCCACCGGTGGCGTCTCAGGCAGCCTCCAGGGTCAGCCGCCAGGGAATGCCGAGGGGCACCAGCCCAAGCTGTCTGCTCACCTGGAAGGTACTGGCACTTTTCTCGGGTGAAATGGGGTGCGTGGGGTGCGGGGAGGGCCTCGGTCCCGATAGGGACCCTCTCTCCAGACGCAGGAGCTGTGAGGCAGGTGTCGGTGCTGACCCGCACTCCCAGGGGGCTGCCGTGAGCGTGACCCCTCCCCCCAGGGCTCTTCCAGGAGTGAGGGTGGCCTGCCAGCCGGGGACAGACAGGAAAGCAGGGGTTTAGGAGCAGGAGGGGGGGCTCCACCTCCCACCCTTCGCAGGGCCGCTTGCTCATCCGCTGCCCCGTGCAGGCTGCTCCTGGTTGGGCCACAGCCCTTCTGCATCGTCAGTGGGGCCAGGAGAGGTCATGAGCCCGGGGCGCTGCCTGCAGAATACCAGTTCCTGGGAGCCTTCGTGTGGGGGAGGGGGAGAGACAGAGACAGCCTGGGCAGGAGGCATGGACTCCTGGGAGGGGGCGGGTCCTATCTGATTGGCTGCGAGGTGTCCCAGAGCCCAGCTCCTGAGACCTGGAGTTTCTTTGACTTTGAATTATTGATGGAGTTCTCGACAGTGAAACAGAGCAGGACTGGACCCAGCCCCAGCCCCAGGCCCAGCCCCAGACCAGCCCAGCCCCAGCCCAGCCCAGCCCCAGGCCCCAGGCCCAGCCCCAGGCCAGCCCCAGGCCCAGCCCCAGGCCCAGCCCCGCCCCAGCCCCAGGCCCAGCCCCGCCCCAGCCCCAGACCAGCCCAGCCCCAGCCCAGCCCAGCCCCAGGCCCCAGGCCCAGCCCCAGGCCAGCCCCAGGCCAGCCCCAGGCCCAGCCCCGCCCCAGCCCCAGGCCCAGCCCCGCCCCAGCCCCAGGCCAAGCCCAGCCCCAGCCCCAGCCCCAGGCCCAGGCCCAGCTCCAGCCCCAGGCCCACCTCCAGCCCCAGCCCAGCCCCAGCCCCAGCCCCAGCCCTGTCTGCCTCTCCCAGGCCTTCACACTCTCCCTTCTCTGCAGCCCAGACAGCTCAGCAGGTGCGAGGAAGCGCATGGTCCCCCAGCCCTGAATAAGGTCTTCTGCTTCCCCTTTCCCTAGAAGAGGGTGAAAGTTGCGGGGGGGTGGGGGGGGGACTACAATGGGCGGGGGTGTGATGAAGGGAGGAGTCCGGACCAGGTGGGGGAAGGACGGACAGTAAACGTGGACCAGGCTGTCCTCAGGCCGGTCTGGGCTGAAAATTGCTGGAGGTCTCTGGCGGGGTCTTAGAAGCCGTGTTCTAGGGCCTACGTGGAAGTTGCCACCGGTCAATCTACCCCTGCGCCCGCCCCAAGCCTTGCATGGACTAGTCTCTAGTGCTCTCTGCCGAGCCCTCGGCATGCGGGCATCAGCTCCTCTCTGCCCAGGCTGTGGGCTGCCCCAGCCACTGGCTCTCATCACTTCATTTCCTTGGGGACGGCGGGGGGGACCCTGGTGCTCAAGGCTGAGGTCAGAGGCCAGCGAGACCAGGAGACTTGACATTACGTATTCTAGGCCCACAGAGGGAGGGGCCGCCGGAGGAGATGAGGCTGCCCCTGTGGAGGTCTTTCCCGGGTTCTCATCCCCCTCGTCCCTCACTGGAGCCCCGCCAGGTAGGCATCGTGATGCTGATGTTATACTCACTTTACAGGTGTGAAAATTGGGGCTTGGAGAGGTTAAATGACTAGGGAAAAGTCACCCCGCTGGTCAGTCCCCCGCAAGTCCAAACCAGCTCGGGCACATGCTGCCCTGAGAGTTCTGGGTGGCTCTGCCCCACCCCCTGCCAAGGGCCCCCGTGGCCCTCCGGAAAGGGGCTGATCCGAGCTGCTACCCTCCAGCCCCATTGTAGCTAAAGCCTGCGCTTCTAGGCTGATAAGGGGACTCTGGGGGTCCCCAAGTGAGCCTGAGCTTGACAAAGAGGGGTGACTCGAGGTAAAGTATAAGGGGCACTGGGCTGGAAGTCTGAAAGACCTGGATTCCAATCCTGGCTCTGCTAATGTGTGACCTGGGGCAAATCGGGGTCGCTTTCCCCATCTGTACACCAGAGAGGCCAAGATGGAAGACCCTCGGGGCCCTCCGAGCTCCTGAACTCAGAGACTGAGTTCTTTCACCCGCTCTACCCCAGCTGTGGCCTTCAGATGGGCACAGGGGTGCTGCCTGCAGTGCAGGACTCTGGCCTCTAGGGGAGCCCACGGTACATCATTGTCCCTGAGCGGCCTGGGCTGGCGTGAACTCCACTTAGAGCAGACTCGGGTGAAGAGGGAGGGTGCACGCAGGAGGACGCTGACCAAATGCTCCTAAGGTCCTTCCAGCTCTGACCGTCCGTGATTCTAAGACTCCTCCTCGTCCCACAAGTCAGAAGGGAGTGCACCGCCCAGTGCCCTCAGTCCAGAGGGTGAGCCAGTGGCCATCCCTGCAGCTGGGGGGTTTCTGGAGGGGCTGAGGAGCAGAAGCTGGAGGGACCTGGGCTGCAGTACGATGTGCGCCTTGGAGGGCTGCAGGGGGGCTGTGTCCGCTGCGCGGTTGGGTTTTGAGGGGAGCACTTGGAGGGCTGCGGGGGGCTGTGTCCGCCCGCGTGGTTGGGTTTTGAGGGGAGCACTCGGAGGGCTGCAGGGGGGCTGTGTCCGCCCGCGCGGTTGGGTTTTGAGGGGAGCACTCGGAGGGCTGCAGGAGGGCTGTGTCCGCCCGCGCTGTTGGTTTTGAGGGGAGCACTCGGCTGCCGCGCGGTTGGGTTTTGAGGGGAGCACTCGGAGGGCTGCAGGGGGGCTGTGTCCGCTGCGCGGTTGGGTTTTGAGGGGAGCACTTGGAGGGCTGCAGGGGGGCTGTGTCCGCTGCGCGGTTGGGTTTTGAGGGGAGCACTCGGAGGGCTGCAGGGGGGCTGTGTCCGCCCGCGCGGTTGGGTTTTGAGGGGAGCACTCGGAGGGCTGCAGGGGGGCTGTGTCCGCCCGCGCGGTTGGGTTTTGAGGGGAGCACTTGGAGGGCTGCGGGGGGCTGTGTCCGCCCAGCGCGGTTGGGTTTTGAGGGGAGCACTTGGAGGGCTGCAGGGGGGCTGTGTCCACCTGCGCGGTTGGGTTTTGAGGGGAGCACTTGGAGGGCTGCAGGGGGGCTGTGTCCGCCCGCGCGGTTGGGTTTTGAGGGGAGCACTTGGAGGGCTGCAGGGGGGCTGTGTCCGCCCGCGCGGTTGGGTTTTGAGGGGAGCACTTGGAGGGCTGCAGGGGGGCTGTGTCCGCTGCGCGGTTGGGTTTTGAGGGGAGCACTTGGAGGGCTGCGGGGGGGCTGTGTCCGCCCGCGCGGTTGGGTTTTGGGGGAGCACTTGGAGGGCTGCAGGGGGGCTGTGTCCGCCCGCGCGGTTGGGTTTTGAGGGGAGCACTCAGAGAGGCCGGGATGTGCTGAGACTAATGGCCCTGCGCGGTTCTTAAACGCGAGCCCCACTGAGCTCGCTCTGCGTGTGACTGGGCGCGCGGACTTGCGTGCACGGGGCGTGGGCGTCTTCGGGCGGTGGGCCGCCTCCTGTGGGAATGGACTGTGTGGTCCCTGGCTGACACCCGCGCTCTGGCCAGCGGGGGACGGCGCACCTGGGAGGGCCGTCTGACAGCGACTTTCCTTGCCTTGCAGCCCATGCGGCTCCCCGTCCCCACGGAGCGCAGCCCTGAAGGATGTCCCAGCTCTCCTCCACGCTGAAGCGCTACACAGACTCGGCCCGCTACACGGACGCCCCGTTCGCCAAGTCCGGCTATGGCACCTACACCCCTTCTTCCTACGGGGCCAACCTGGCCGCCTCCTTCCTGGAGAGGGAGAAGCTTGGTTTGCGACCAGGCCCCCCGGCCAGCTTCCTCGCCCGGCCCCGTACCTACGGCCCCTCCTCCATCCTGGACTACGACAGGGGCCGCCCCCTGCTGAGAACAGACATCCTGGGGGGCGGCCGGAAGGCGGAGAGCCAGCCGCGGAGCACAGAGCGGCCTGCGGGGACTGGACTCAGCGGGGGCAGTGGGTTCCCTTACGGAGTAACCAACAGCTCGCTCGGCTACCTGACCATGAGCGCCCGCAACCAGGGGCTGACCTTGACCCAGAAGAAGTCCAACAGTCAGTCGGACCTGGCCCGGGATTTCTCCAGCCTGCGGACGTCAGAGAGTTGCCGGATGGACCCGGGGAACCTGGGCCGCAGCCCCATGCTGGCCCACACGCGCAAGGAGCTGTGTGCCCTGCAAGGGCTCTACCAGGCGGCCAGCCGCTCCGAGTACCTGGCCGACTACCTGGAGAACTATGGTCACAAGGGCAGCACACCTCAGGTGCCCACGCAGGCCCCTTCCTCGCGCGTCCCTGAAGTCCTCAGCCCCACCTACCGACCCAGCGGCCGGTACACTCTGTGGGAGAAGGGCAAGGGCCGCTCCGGCTCCCCGGGGCGAGACACCATGGTGAGTTTGCCCCTTGGGGACCCGGTGACGGGTTGGGGAGGCAGCCGCGGATGTAGAAGAGCCAAGTTGAAGGAAGGATTCCCAAATCTACTGATGCTGGAAGGCAGAGGTTTTCCCCCCGAACCTCGCAGCAGCGGCTCCTGCACCCCTAGTGAGGACGAGCCAGGGGGTCACCGAGGCATGTCTGATGCCCTGGTGGCTCGCTGCCCTGCTCAGAGGTTCCCCACTCTCCCCAGGAAACCCACTTCAGGACCAGTGTACTCGACGACAGTCCAGCAGTGCTCCCAGAAATGCTCAGATACCCCCACATACACTACGAGTCTTACCCTCTGCTCTTCCACCCAGCGTGCCAGGGTCCCATGCAGGCCCTGCCCCATCCTGGGCTGGATGCTGAGGCCCCCAGACCACCAGTGTTCCCTGTGGTAAGAGAGGCCTCCGTGCTTGGCTTACATCTCTTCTCCTGCTCTGCCTAGAGACCCGGCCTACCATCTGGGCCTCGTCATGGGGGAAGAGGGACTCTCTTCTGATTGACATTGGCTGGCTCAGGACCAGGGTGCCTGGACAGCAGTCCTTCTGGGTCTTTGGAGAAGTTTTTGTCTAGGGCTTTAGACAAACGAACACGTCTATATTCTAGTCCTACCTGGGCTGGAAGGGGGAATAAGTGCTTCTGGAGACCGAGCAAGGCTGGGCACGATCTCACTCACCTCTAATCCCTGGACACACCCTTCTTGGGGCACAGACTACATCCTCTCTTGTGTGTAGCTGTTGGTAGCCCATGAGGTGGCAAGTGCTCCAAGGATGAGAAAGAAATGAGATCTCTAGATCCCACACCATGTACCTAGAGGAGCACAGAGCTTAGCTGTCCTGCTGACTGCATGTACGGATGGTGAGCAGGTAGATGAGTGGGTGGATGGGTGGATGGATCGATGGATAAATAGATGATGGATGGATGGATGGATGAGTGGGTGGATGGATGGATGAGTGGATGGGTGGATAGATGGATGGATGAGTGGGTGGATAGATGGATGGATGAGTGGATGGGTGGATAGATGGATGGATGAGTGGGTGGATGGATAAATAGATGATGGATAGATGAGTGGATGGATGGATGGATGGATAGATGAGTGGATGGATGGATGGATAAATAGATGATGGATGGATGAGTGGGTGGATAGATGGATGGATGGACGGACGGGCGGATGGACAGATAGATGAGTGGATGGACGAATGGATAGATGGATGGATGGATGAGTGGGTGGATAGATGGATGGATGGATGGATGAGTGGATGGATGGATAGATGGATGGATGGGTGGGTGGATGGATAGATGGATGGATGGATGGATGGATGGATAAATAGATGATAGATGGATGATGGATGGATGAGTGGGTGGATGGATGGATGAGTGGATGGGTAGATGGATGGATGGATGAATAGATGATGGATGGATAGATGGATGGATGGATGAGTGGGTGGATAGATGGATGGATGGATGGATAAATAGATGATGGATGGATGGATGAGTGGGTGGATGGATGGATGAGTGGATGGGTGGATGGATGGATGGATGGATGGAAGAGTGGGTGGATAGATGGATGGATGAGTGGATGGACGATAGATGGATGGATGGATGGATGGATGGATGAGTGGATGGATGGATAGATGGATGGATAGATGAGTGGATGGATGGATGGATGGATGGATGGATGGATGGATGGATGGATGGATGGATAGATTGATGGATGGATGGATAAATAGATGATAGATGGATGATGGATAGATGAGTGGGTGGATGGAAGGATGAGTGGATAGGTGGATGGACGGATGGATGAATAGATGATGGATGGATGGATGGATGAGTGGGTGGATGGATGGATAAGTGGATGGGTGGATGGATGGACAGATGGATAGATGAGTGGATGGATGGATGGATGGATGGATGAGTGGATGAGTGGATGGGTGGATGGGTGGATGGGTGGGTGGGTGAATAGATGGACAGGCTAGCATATGGGCAGGAGAGTTAGGTGTTGTGTCCCCTTTACGTACCCTTCCCTTACTCTTAGGACATGTGCCTTTTTTAAACTACGGCTGCGTCACAACAAGAAATGCTGCTCGGGGGGCTAGTCCAGATAAATGGAGCAGGAGCGCAGAACAGGGCGGGGCTTGGGGTCATAGACCCGGAAGCTTGGAGTAAGTAAAGGCCTTGAGAGGGGAACGTGGATACATTACCTGGAGCGTCTTGGTCTGTGAAGTGCCACGGGAGACAGCTGGTGCCGACCAGAACCTTCAGACCCTGGCAGGGCAGGGTTTGCTCCGCTGGGGGCTAGTGTGCATGAGGAACGGGAAGCAGCAGAGCCGGCCTGGGGGACAGGGGTGTGCTCTGAGGAAGATGTGCGCTGGGTGGGAGCCGATTCGTGCAGCGGGCACGTCGGGTGCTGCTCCCTCAGGGGCACCGAGAAAGCGGCTCACAGTGGAGGGCTCAGGTCCTCGAGGCTTCTGTGGGGCTCCCTCGACTTTGCTCCAAAGAGAAGGTTTTTTGTGGTATTCGGTCTTCCTCAAGGTGGGGTCTGCAGACTTCCAACATCAGATTCACCTGACAAACTCTCTAGGGAGAGTGCCTGGGAATCTACCCTTTTCTCAAGCTCTTCGGGTCATCTGTGGGTACCCTGTGGCTTGAAAACCTCTTCTTCACGGATAAAGTACAGACCCCCCTTCAGCCCGTCATGAGAGAGTAGGGTCTCCTCCTTTTCTTGGGGGGTGAGACTCTGCTGGGACTCGGCCTCCTTCACAAACCTCCCTGGAGTCTACCGCCCTCCACCCCATCCACAGCAGACACCAGGGCCCCACCCTTCACCCCAGGGCCAGAGTGAGGGGAGTTTTGAGAGAGGTCCTCAGGGGAGTGGCCAGCTGCCCTAGGGCACACTTAGCCACCCCAGCATCCCTCCTTCCCTTCCAGAAACAGCTCACAACACACTTAAGCAGTTCCAGCAATGCCCAGGACTGAGTTTGTGCTCCCCTCTGAGCTCCAGCTGCCAGAGGAGAGGGTGCTGCCAACCAGGAAGGGCCCCTGGAGGGTCAGGGGGTCAGACCCTGACCTGACCACATGCCTCTCCTGCCCCGGCACCCGCACTTGCTGGAGCTGACTGCCTTCTGCTGAGACGGCAGAGCCCCCTGCTCACGAGGCCTGGGTGGCTTCTTCTTAAAACCAGCTCTAGTGGTGTGGGGGGGATTTCACACCTGCATCTGGGGATCTCACCCTCTCGTTCGTTCATTTCCGGGTTCTCGGTTTCCTGGCAGTGTGACCTCGGAGAAGCTCCTTAGCTTCCGAACCTGTTTCCTGTCCGTAGACGAGCACGAGGAACAGAGGGTGGCGTGCGGGAGGCCCCGCCACGTAGGAGGTGTTCAGTGAATGCGTGTCCCCCTCACGCCCTCCCAGGAGGCCAGAGAGGTGTGGCCTGGTCCCTCCCTCCGTGTAGTCACGTTGGACTTGGGGGGGCGGCCCCTGTTCTCAGGTAGCGGGACAGGGAGAGGTCTCCCGGGCTGGAACAGTTTGTCTCTGGACACCTGTCATCCTAGCTCTGTTTGCTCATCCATAAAGCGGCCCTGCCCCCTCACAGTGACGTCAGGAGGCTGACAGCAGGTACAGGTGTGAAGGGCCCTGGAGCCAGTGCCAGCCTGGAAGGGTCCCTGTGAGCTGGAGCGGACAGGTGACAGAAAAGGAGTGGGGAGGGGAGCGGCCCCGGGGGGAGCAGGGTGAGAACGGGCACCCAGTGGCAGGGCCCGTCCTGATCTGACTCCTCCGGGGCCCCTAGGGCAACTGATTCCAACCACAGCTGGCTCAGGCCCCAACCAGGGCAGAACAGCTCCAACCAGACTCATTGTCCTCATCGCCAGCAGCAGCCAACATAAACAGAGAGCACAGACCCACAGCGCGGGGGGGCTGGTGGAGGGGCGTGAGCTCTGGATACCCCTGCCTGCATAAGCGCCCACAGGGTGCCCGTCCACCGGAGGGCAGCCCAGCCTGGGACAGGGAGGGCTGCCCAGGCTCTGCCTTCTGCTTAAAAGGCAGGCACACTGGGGAGGGAGGCCGTCAGGGCTCAAACTGGTCTTTTAAAAAAGAAGATAAAACTTTCACCACGCCCAGCGGGGACTCTCAGCCAGGTGGGCTGGCCAGCAGAGCCTAGGAGCCCGAGCGCCCATCCTGGGGAGGTTCCCCTCTGCCTCACCTCCCCTGTTCCCTGGGCCCAAGGACAAGCTGTTCCCGCTGAGCCCTGCCAGGGCTGCGTTTAACCCCTGCAATCCGTCCTAATCCTCCTCCACTCCGCCCCTCCAGCTGCTCCCGCCCGCCAGGCCTGGCGCTGTGCCTGCCACCTCGGCCCTGTCTTCTCCCCGCCCTGCCAGGCCACCCTCTCCTGTCCCCAGAGGAGCGGGGTGGGGCAGGGCCTTCCAGAGCCGGCACAGGCCAAGCACCTGCTGTTCAGATGCAGAGCCAGGCCCCGGGGCTCAGAGCCTGGCCCAGCCAGCTCTCCCCGGGGGGTCTCCTCCACACCCTCGCCCTCTGCTCTGGGACCTGTTGCTGGGAGCAACAGATCTGGGAACCCAAAGTCCGGGATCCCAGGGTTACCTGGGTCCTGTCTGCCGCTGGGCTGCTGACTCATCGCTCAGAGCTCTGGGTTCAAGCCGTGTGGGTCGCAGGGAGATGACATAAACTGAGGTCAGGTGATGGTTCTCTTGCCTGGGACTTTGGACTCGACTGTGCCATGCCATGGGGGGGGGGGGCACCCAAAGGGGACATGTTACACGTTAGGATGGCAGGAACCCCTGGAGCTCCTGGGTGGGAAGTGTGGCCGCCCCCGCTCACCCCCACGCCGGACTATTTGTGCGGCTTGGCTGCCTGAGACCCCGGGGCCTGTCCGCACCCAGTGGGCCGCACCGGGAAGGCTGAGCTTCCTAAGGGTGTGGTGTCTGTTGTCAGCCTGGAAAGGTCACTTAGAGGAGAC